TCCTCCTCCTTCTCGTCCTCCTCCTACACCTCCTCCCCCACCTCCTACACCTCCTCTTCCTCCGTCTCTTCCTCCTCCTCCTCCTGGTCCTCCTCCTCCTCCTCCTCATCATCATCAGCATCATCATCATCATCATCATCATCATCATCATCATCATCATCATCATCATCATCATCATCATCATCATCATCATCAGCATCATCATCATCATCAGCATCATCATCATCAGCATCATCATCATCATCATCGTCGTCATCATCATCATCATCATCACCAGCATCATCATCGTCATCGTCATCATCAGCAGCATCAGCATCAGCATCAGCATCAGCATCATCGTCATCAGCATCAGCATCAGCATCAGCATCAGCATCATCATCATCATCATCAGCATCAGCATCAGCATCATCATCATCATCATCAGCAGCAGCATCATCATCATCAGCATCAGCATCAGCATCAGCATCCGCATCAGCATGATCATCAGCATCATCATCAGCATCATCAGCATCATGATCATCATGATCATCATGGTCATCAGCAGCGTCATCATACTCATCAGCATCATCATAACTATCATCGGAATCATAATCATCAGCTTCCTCAGCAGCCGCATCATCATCATCATCATCAGCAGCAGCAGCGTCAGCATAATCATCAGCAGCAGCAGCATCAGCAGCATCAGCATCACAATCATCAGCGTCATCATCAGCAGCCTCAGCCTCACCATCATCAACATCATCATCAGGAGCATCATCACCATCGTCATCATCAGCATCTGCATCGTCATCAACATCAGCATCGACATCGTCGTCGTCGCCATCAGCAGCAGCAGCATCAGCATCAGCATCAGCAGCAGCAGTATCAGCATCAGCATGAGCAGCCGTAGCGGCCTCATCATCTGATCATCAGCATCAGCATCGTCATCATCATCAACCTCTTCATCAGCATCACCCTCATCATCATTCAGTATCATCATCGTCATCAGCATCATCATCATCATCATCATCATCATCAACATCAACATCAACATCAGCATCATGATCATCACCATCGGCATCGTCATCGTCATCGTCATCATCAGCCTGTTTAATAATCAGCATCAGCATCATCATCATCATCATCATCATCATCATCATCCTCATCATGATCATCGCCACCGCCATCATCATCATCGACAGCCGCATCGGCATCATCAACAGCCGCATCAGCACCATGATCCTACTCGTCCCCCTCCCCCAAGCCATGATCATCACCATCACAACAATCATTCGCATAATCAGCATCATCAACCCTTCTCTCTTCTCGATCGCATCCGTCCCCAAAACATTGCTGTCGTTCTTCTTACCTCCTCCGTCTCCTCCTCCTCCTCCTCCTCCTCCGATGGGGTATCCTTCCCGTCGTTATGGTCGTTGTCGTCGCCGCCATCGTCGCCGTCCTCTCCCTCGTCCTTGTCTTCGGTATCCGCCTCGTTGTCGTCGTCCTCGTCTGCCTCACCCTCCTCTTCCTCCCGTTCCTCCTCCTCGGCATATTCCTCCTCCTCCTCCTCCTCTTCTGATGGGATACTGTTCCCGCTTACCTCGTCAACCCCCTTCTCTTCGTCCTGCTTACCTCACCTGCTGGGGAACGACTAATACCGTTTCCCTCCGCCTGCTCCTCCTCATCATCCGTCTCGTCGTCGTCCTCCACCTCCTCCTCCTCTTCCTCCTCCTCTTACTCCTCCTCATCGTCATCATCATCATCATCAGCATCAGCAGCAGCATCATCGTTATCACCAGCATCATCAATCGCCATCCTCATCACCATTTCCACCATCATCAGCATCAGCATCATCATCGTCATCATCAGCATCATCATCATCAACCCATCACCCCCGTCAGCAACAACATCAACACCATCGCAATCAACCACAGCAGCATCATAAGCAGAATCATCATGATCATCATTAGCATCATCAGCATCAGCAGCATCATCACAATCATCAGTTTCGACATCAGCACCATCAGAATTATCATCGTCACCAGCAGCATCATCATCATCAGCATCAGCACCAGCAGCATCATCAGCATCATCCGCATCAACAGCATCAGCATCAGCATCAGCATCAGCATCAGCATCAGCATCAGCATCAGCATCATATCGGAATCAAAGTTATCAATGACCTTATCCTAATCCGCCTCCTCCATCTCCTCCCCCCCCTCCTCATCCGCATCCTCCGCCGCATCCTCCTCCTCCCCCTCCTTCTCCTCCACTGATCCTCCTCCTCCTCATCCCCCGTCAACCTCACTATCAGCATAAACAACGTCAGCATCATCGTCGGCGTCATCGCCATAATCAGAATCATCATCAGCATCAGCATCATCATATTCATCATCATCAGCATCATCATCATCATCCTCAGCAGCAGCGCCATCGTCATCATCATCATCATCATCATCATCATCATCATCATCATCGTCGTCGTCGTCGTCGTCGTCGTCATCATCATCATCATCAGCAGCATCGCCAACATCAGCATCATCATCAGCATCACCATCATGATCAGCATCTGCAGCATCAACATCAGCAGCAGAAGCAGTAGCATCATCCGCATCAACAGCATCAGCATCAGCATCAGCATCATATCGGAATCAAAGTTATCAATAACCTCATCCTAATCCGCCTCCTCCACCGCCTCCCCCCCCCTCCTCATCCGCATCCTCCGCCGCCTCCTCCTCCTCCTCCCCCTCCTCCTCCTCCACTGATCCTCCTCCTCCTCATCCCCCGTCAGCCTCACTATCAGCATAAAAAACGTCAGCATCATCGTCGGCATCATCGCCATAATCATAATCATCAGCATCATCAGCACCATCAGAGTCATCAGCATCAGCATCATCATCATCAGCAGCAGCGCCATCGTCGTCGTCATTATCATCATCATCATCATCATCATCATCATCATCAGCATCATCATCATCATCATCATCATCATCATCATCATCATCATCATCATCATCATCATCATCTTCATCATCAGCATCACCAACATCAGCATCATCATCAGCATCACCATCATCATCAGCATCTGCAGCATCAGCATCAGCAGCAGAAGCAGTAGCAGCATCACCATCAGCATCAGCACAATCATCAGCACCGCCATCCTCATCGTCAGCATCATTGTCAGCATCATTCCCATCATCACGATCAGCATCGCCATCATCATCAGCAGCATCGTCATCAGTATAATCATCATCATCAGCAGCATCATCAACAGCATCATCAACAGCATCAGCATCATCAGCATCAGTATCAACATCATCGTCATGGTCAGCATCATCATTGTCATCATCATCGTCATCAACGGCATCATCATCATCATCATCGTCGTCGTCAGCAGCAGCACCAGTACCAGCATCATCGTCATCGTCAGCATCATCAGTGTCGTCATCATCATCAGCATCAACATCATCAACATCAGAAGCACCATCACAGTCCTCATCATCATTATCAGCAGCAGCAGCAGCATCAGCATCATCATCACCATCATCATCATCTTCATCATCAGCAGCATCATCAGCAGCATCATCAGCATCAGCATCATCATCACCATCGTGAATGTGATCATCATCAGTATCAGCATCATCGTCATCGTCAGTATCATTGTTGTCGTCATCACCATCATCAGCAGCAGCATCATCATAGTCATCATCATCAGCAGCAGCATCAGCAGCATCATCACCATCACCACCATCATCACCAGCAACAGCATCATCATCAGCATCATCAGCATCAGCATCATCATCAGCAACAGCATCATCACAATCATCCTCAGCATCATCATCAGCAACAGCATCATCATCAACATCATCATCAACAGCAGCATCAACATCATCATCATCACCGTCATCATCATCACCACCACCTTCAGCATCACCAACCTCATCATCATCAGTATCACCATCGTCGTCATCATGACCATCATCAGCATCATCATTACTATCACCATCATCATCATAATCGGCATCATCTTCATCAGCATTATAATCAGAATCATCGCCTCCTCCGATGGGGTGCACCATAGTCACAATCTGCATCATGGTCAGAATATTCATCATCATTAGCAGCAGCATCATCACCATCATCTGCAGCCTCATGATAAGCATCAGCATCGTTATCATCCTCATCATCAGCAGCATCATCGTCGTCATCATCATCACAAGCACCACCACCACTACCATCATCATCAGCAGCATCATCGTCATCCTGGCCATTATCATCAGCAGCAGCAGGATCCTCATCATCATTCTCCTCATCCTCCTCATCTTCGTCGACGTCATCGCCGTCGCCACCATCGTCGTCGCTGGTCTTGTCCCCGTGCTCGTCCCCTCCTCTTCTTCCTCCTTCTACTCCTCCGCCTCCTCCTCCTCATGCCCTTCCTCCTCGTCTTCCTCCTCCTCCTCCTCCGCCTCCTTCTACTCCACCTCCGCATCCTCCTCCTCCTACTCCTCCTACTCCTCCTCCTCCTCCTCCTCCTCCTCCTGGGCTCCTCTTCCTCCTCCTCCTCCTCACCCTCTTCCGACTGGGTGCTGACAGAAACGGCCATGGCCCGAGGCGCCTCCAAAAGCCAAGCCAGTCTGGAGCCTCCGGGGTCCCTTCTTCGCCTCGTCCAGGGGGATCGCTGTGCCTCTGTGCCTCACCGGCAGCCCTGGAGACACCCAGGGGCAGGACCACTTCTATTCGACCCGTTGCCAGTCGTACTGAACTGAAGGCCTCGCCGTCACCCCCGCCACCCCCCGGCGTTCACCACCGCCGATCACCGCCGCCGCCGCCGTGCGTTCACTCGTTCGGCCGTTCGTTCGGTCGCTCGGTCGGTCGACCTGTCGTCGTCGTCGTCGTCGTCGTCGTCGTCGAGGTGGTCGTCGCCGTCGTCGCCGCCGTCGTCGCCGCCGTCGCCCTCGACGGTGGACGGAGGCGGGCGGCGGTGGACGGCGGCAGGGGCGACGCGATGGGGCTGGAGGGGCCTGTGCCCCTTCGCCGCCCGCGCGCCCGAGGGCGCCGGGCACGGGCTTCGCGGGGAGCGCCCCGCGGACGGCGCGGCGGCCTCGCGGGAGGAGCGACGACGACGACGACGACGACGACTGGTCGACCGACAGACCGACAGACCGACCGACCGAAATGACGAGCGAACGGCCGAACGAACGAACGCACTAGGGAACCCACCAAAGGACGTACGCGCCAACCCACGTCCATAAACACGGCCCCCGTGTCCGCGAGACCAGCCTCGTAATGCGAACACTCGCGCAATGCGTACTTTCGAAACCAACGTGGATTCATGTACGTGTACGTCCTTCCTTCGCTCCTGACGTACGGCGGCGGCGGAATGCGGCGGTGGACGGCGGCAGGGGCGCAGGCGGCGTGGGAGGGGGCGGCGGCCAAGGCGGCGGGCGAAGGCGGCGGGCTGCTGCATCGGAGCAAGTGCAAGTGCCGGTGGCCTGCCTGCCTCCAAGTGTCCTGCGCCCCCTCCTCCTCCTTCTCGTCACTCCTCCCTCCTCCTCCCTCCTCCCTCCTCCCTCCTCCTCCTCCTCGCTCCTCCTCCCTCCTCCCTCCTCCCCCCAGGGGGGAAATGAGAAGGAGAAGACCTGCTCAGAAGGCTGCGCGACTTCTCAGAAGCCCTCGTGGCTTCTGAGAAGTTTCTGCGTCTTCGGGGAAGACTTAGAAAACTTCTTAGAGGGCCGGGGATTTCCGAGCCTTCTGAGAAGGCCTGCCTCCCCCCTGGGCGCGCTGCCGATCTCTAGGACTCCTCATGGAGGAAGTACGAAAGGGGAACGGGAGGGTGGAGGGAGGCCGGAGGAGAGGAGAGCATCACCAGTAGCAGCAGCACAAGGAAGAGGACGATCAGGAGGGAGGGCGGAGAGGGGACGAGCCAGAGGAGTTTCCTTCGACATTGATGCGAACGGCATCCTGAACGTGTCCGCATCCAGTGAAAAGTCCGACCAGGACGAGCCCGACTCCGCCAAGGAGGCTTCGGAGGTAGACGTTTACCCTTGCGTGCGTTGTGCAGGACTTCATGGGCGCTCCACAATACTTGGCCCATTGTGCCCGCTGGGCAAAGCGAAATGTTACATCTGCGGGGAGGACTGCCCCAAGAATGAAAGGGCGGCGCATTGCCAGGGTTGCCAATCTTGGGCACATGATTCATACTCACTTCATTGTCTGATTGTGCCTCTGCGTAAGTAGATCCCCTCGGTTTATCTTCTTCTCGCAAGTGCTCCCTCGGCTCCATTCCATACTTTTGTGATGCCTCTGGCACTGCCTGACCCTACGATACATGCGTCAACCGTGAATCAGAGGGAGGAGGAGAGAGGTGGGACGAGGAGGAGGGAGGAAGATGAACGAGAAGGCGGGAACCCTTTGTCTGGGGGGGGGGATTCCTATTCTCCCGCTCGCGCGCTAGCGAGCTGTCTCCGAGCGCGGCCGCGGCTCGCGCGCGCGGGGCGGCCCAAAATGGGCAGGCCCGTCCCGCGCGCTCGTGCCGGGGCGCCGCGCGTCAGGCGGGGGAGACCGCCTGCTCGCCGACGACGGCGAGGCAGCGCCCATCAGCCTTAGATTGGGAGAGGAGGGAGGGGGGCAGAGAAGCTGCGGAGACAGCAGGAGCTTGCTCACAGAGAATAGAAGAGGCATTCTCCCGCTCGCGCGCTAGCGAGCTGTCTCCGAGCGCGGCCGCGGCTCGCGCGCGCGGGGCGGCCCAAAATGGGCAGGCCCGTCCCGCGCGCTCGTGCCGGGGCGCCGCGCGTCAGGCGGGGGAGACCGCCTGCTCGCCGACGACGGCGAGGCAGCCATACCCGTGCTCAAGGACCTTGCGAAGTGACAAGGTTTCGGCGGGCGGCCGCAAGTAGGGCAGGCCAAGCGGCGGGGCCGACTTGGAGAAATGAAGCGACAAGGCGGTCGCTGGCGGTGGCGAAGAACAGGATCCGCGCCCGTGCGGGCACGGGCAGCGCAGCAAGAACTGTGGAAGCGGCGGCGGCTTGCAGGTAGCGCTCAGCACTGGAAGCCTGACGCCAACGCCCCCGCCAGAAGACGCGAGGGACGTCTTCCGTAGCGATATAGAAGTCTGTTGCGCCAGAGCCCCGCAGACATGCGGGCGTCAGGTTGAGCCCCTGACCCGCTTTGGCAAGAGGGGCGCCCAGGGCCGAAAGCAAATGATTCCACCGAGTACGGAAGCCGCTCGCACCGAAAGGGGCGAGAGGATCGGTGGAAGCCAACCGCCCAAACACTTGATTCAGAATCTTCACCGTGCCCCGATCGGAGCAGCGAGCATGCTGCGTCGGGTACGTTCTCCTGGTCTTTGGAACAAGAATCGAGAGAAAAGCATCCCCTTCAACTTCGAGGCGGTCGCAAGGAAGCGACAAGTCACAGCGGCGTGACGCCAGCAGCTCGCCAGGCCTGAGGAACATCGTAAAGCCCATGAGCAGCAAGGCCGCCATCACAGGCCAGTCCCAGGCGAAACAGAGACCGACCATAGCGCGCAGCAGAGCGCGAGGTAAGGGCGGGCGGAGCTTTGGCGGCTCCGCGAGCTTCCATTGTTTCGCTACGTCCCAAGCTTCTGTTAGAAAGGCCTTCCAATGCGGATGAGCGCTCTGGATTCCCAAGATGGCATGAACCAGAATATAATGAGGGAAACCTGCATCATGAAGCCACACGCCGAAGGTCGCGAGGAAGCGGGCGAGAAGTATCCCGCTACGGTAAAGAGTGGCGGGCGGCACGCCAGTGTGTTCTGCTAACCACAGTTCGAACGCATCAATCGATCTCGAGCGACGATCGAGATACGCGGAGGTGAGGTGAGAATCGCGCACGAAGGGAGTGCGCGGAGGGCGAGCGGGCGCGGAAGGCGCAGCCCGACTAAGCCCTTGGCCTGCGGTCGGCGCCGCGGCTCCCAGAGAGATGCAGAGGCCGCAGACGCACCACAGGATGAGCGCAGGGCGGCCAGGGCTGGGAGAGCTGATCAGCGTGGCGGCCCTCCTGCTCCTGGACGCGTAGAAGGGCGGAACGAGGGTGTCCCGCCCGTCGGTCTCGAACCCCGACGCCTCCGCCAGCATCGCCCGCGCCGAGGTGAAGGATCCGCCCATGTTACGGTGAGCACGGCGAGCCCCTGCTTCGATCTCGGCGGGCAGAGCGCCCCCTCCCTCGAGGGTCGCCCAGTCAAAGGGCGGGCGCGGCTCGGCGCGCGCAGCTGCGGCCGATTCGGCGAGCTCGGAACGAGCTGCCGAGGACGTGAGGCCCGAATGATGTGGAACGGGCACCACCTCCGCGAACGCGTCGAGGATCTCGGACGGAGGGGAATGAGATCCCCACAGCGCTGCTGGGATGGCGCCGTGACCGTCCTGCACGTGGTACAGAAGGTCGAAAAGGCAGGCCAACTTGCCCGCGCGCCTCCTGTGCTCGATCTTTGAGCCGAGCCCGATGCCACGGATGGCGCCCGCCCCCATGGCTTGGAGGTCAGCGCCCGCGGGGATAGCCTCGGGCTCGACGGCGGCCACGTAAGGATGCAACCACGAGGCTTCGTCGATCGGCTCGGCGCCGCCTGTCTGAAACAGGCGCTTATAGGCGTGCAAGGCCTGCAGGAGGCAGTGCAGGTCATCTCTGCCCTCGGGCTCGGCGGCCCCTGCGGGTGCGAAAGACCTCAGCCACGACGCCGCGCTCTGGAAGGCAGCTTGCCAGGCGGGTCCCCACCTCACCACTGTGACCTTCTCACCGCCGAGGTTGAGACGCCACGCTAGGGCGGTGGCGGCCCCTGGAGGCAAGGGCTGCTCAACGGCCGCGGAGGCCGTGCGCCGCGCTGCGAAGGCTGCAGCCGCGGCGCTCCCAGCGTCGCCGCTGTGGGAGCCGCTGGGATGCAGCTCGTGCCCTGAATCTCGGCCAGGCGCGGGGCCGCTCGAAGACCCCCTTTCCTCGGCGGCACGCCCTCCGCCCTGCGGGGCCGCAACAGCATCGCTGGAGGAGCGCGTGCCTACCGAAGACTGAGGGGCCTGAGCAGCGGAGTCCGCGCGGGAGCTGCCTGCGTGGGCGTCGCCCGAGCTCGCACCATGGCGGGACGTGGCTGGCCGCTGCGCAGTAGCGGGGCTCGGGCGCCGCTTCGGAGCGACTCGAGGGGAGCGCACCTCGCGACGCCGAGGCGACGTCGCCTGACGCGAAGGCGCGCGAGAGGAGCCGCGCGCGACGGCCCGACTAAGCCCCTGGCCTGCGGTCGACGCGCGGGATCGCGACGCCGCACGCCCACCAGAGTGGTGAGGGGGCGGCGGCGGCGGCGGGGGCACGGGCCGCGGAGTCTCGGAGCCTACACGCGTGCCGCGGCCCCGAGAGCGACTGCGAACCGAGGCGCGAGCGGCGGGCGGAGAGGCCCCCGAGCGGCGAGGGAAGGCCGCCTGCAGGCGGCGGAGGACCTCGGGGTTCAGGCCCGCCACGACGCGCTCGAGGTCCATCGAGGAGTCTGCGAGGGCACTCAGCACGACGTCCTCGAGCTCCGTCGGAGAGTCCTCGTCGCACGCGGGCTCCGCTCTCGAGCGGCTGCGAACGCTCGCGGGCGGGGACCCGTCAGGAGTGTGCGGGCCCTCCGATGCCTCCCCCGCAGGCGGCTCCGACGGCTCCTCGGGCGAGATCGGGCCGTCGACGGGAGGCGACGAGCAGCCCCCCGAGGGAGAGGTGCGGTCGGTCCCGTACGGGTTTGGAGACCGCGTACGGCTGCGGGCAGGGCTGCGGCTCCGCGGTGGGGAGCCCACTCCCGCGGCGGAGCTGGGGCGTGCCGCGCCTGCCCAGCGGCGCGCATTGGCAGTGCGACGCGCCCTGCGGCCAGGCGCCGTGGCGGCCCCCCCCTCAGGGGCGGGGAGCGCCGCCATCGAAGCCCGCCGCTGCCTGGCGGCGCGCCTGGTGCGCGCGGCGCCCGTGCGCGAGGCGGAGTGCGGCGCGTGACCACCGCGGTTGGGCTGGTCCTCGACCGCTTCATCCCGCGGGCCCAGGCGGGCGCGGACCGCGCGCCGCTCACGACGGCTGAAGCTGGACGCAGGGTCGTCGGCGGGCCTTGCCAAGGCGCGCGGGTCCTCAGCC